TTTATGACTTTTTGTTTGCTTGGTTTATTGTTGTTTTGCCATGCAGAAAATCTTGCTTTTTTATGCAGTGAGATGTATTTATTTTTTCTTTTCTATATCTACTTCATTAGCCACTTTCTCAGTTTCAACCTCATCTCTTCCATGGACTACTGCAATGGTCTCCTGACTGGCGTCTCTGCTTCTTACCCAGCTCCTTTTTATCTAATTAAATATGAGTTAAAGAGAGTTATTTACCCAAAACACGAATTTGACTATGTTAATTCCTTGTATAAATAACATCAGTGTTTCCTGTTGCTTATACGATACAAATCCAAGCTTCTTAGCAAGGCTTTCCATGATTTCTGATTTCTGCACAACCCTACAGTTTTCCTCCGTTTCTCATCACTCTCTCCTTCCTTTCCAGCTTTCTCCCTAACCCTGGCCCTTTGACCTACTATCCTTTTGAAGCAAATCTCCCAAACGAATCATGCTGTCTCATGATTCTATACCTTTGATGGCTGTTATTTCTTTTTCAAAACGATTCATGCTTTCTCTGGCTCAGAAAATCTTTCCTGATTGCTCAGGCAGGCTCAGCGGTTCTTCTAAGCCTTTTTAATAAAACTGAACAAATGATTTAATTGGCCAATAAAAATGACAGAGAATTCACATCATAACAGATTGATAAAGATCAGAAAAAAGAAGGAACATCTTGCCATTTACAACTGTAACTTTCTTCTTCCTTTCCTGAATATAATCGAGGGAGAGAGTGAGCATGGGGAAGTAGTTCATTATAGCTGATTTCCTGGGATACCCAGGAATCTTACAGAAATATAGTTTAAAGCACTTCTGGTCAGTCCCTACAGACCAAGTTCTTTCCCTATAAACTGCATTTCCTTTAGAAGCCACTTTAATTTTGTGAGTAGTCAGTCCACTGTGCCACAGCCAAGACTTGGGGTCTCTATTTTCTATTGACATAAAATCCCTGGCCTGTTAAATACTCGGCATCTCTCAAGGAAAGCCAACATACTAACTGTCATGGAGAAGCAATCAGTCTAGGACATTAGAATGTCTCAAGTGGTTCCACATCCTAATATTAACCAGCCTGAAATCTGTTTAGGTCTTAAAATTAGTCAAAATTGGACTCATTCAGGCCCAGAAGAGCATCTGTTTTCAAGGATGCAGCTGCTACACTTTCAATGGAAACTTACTGTGACTTTTTAATTGATTCATATGAGGATGTCCTTGTGCATCTGCAATATTATCTAAAATTGTTACAATATTAGCTTAGACTAGTATCAGCTGTCATGAGAGTGATAAATTGAAAAGGGAAAGATGGTTATCTCGGCAGGAAAAGAAAGGTTAATGCTGGGAATTCGAACTTTTTAGAAGATAGAAAAAGACACTGAAGAGTGATCCTGCGAGACATTTTCACTAGATATATTTTAGAAGAGCAAATTTTGGTACAAAAATTTCTGAATCCTCTTCCCATTTGTATAGAGGTGAGAGACACCACATAATGATTTCTGCTTTAACCTGGGATAAAATTATTTAACTTTTTTTTAAAAAAAGTTTGTTTTATTTTTATTTTTTGTAGAGAAAGGATCTATGTTGCCCAGGTTCATCTCAAACTCCTGGCCGCAAGTGATCCTCCTGCTTCAGCCTCCCAAGGGGCTAGGATTATAGGGGGTGAGCCATCATGCCCAACCAAATTATTTAATTTTTAATCTTTAGTTTTCCTATTTAGAAAATTATAATAATAGCACTTTCCCAACTCCTAGAGCAATGTGTCATTAAGTCTTATAAATAATTCTGAAATCCTTTGATGGTGGTACCTGGCCAAACACTTTTTCGTAAAATAAAAACAGGAATGCTGTTAGGTCTGTGCCATTAAGAATTCATGGGGCTCACAAAGTCAATGGGGTCTGTGACAGGAGCCCCTCCCACTAACCTCTTTCCTCTCCTTAAATGCCTGTGGGATATGCTACTATCAAGCCTAGAGCTGGGGTAGGATTTTAAAGTGTCAGATACTATAATATCCCAGTTTCAAGCTGGAAATTTAATGTCAGCTATCTCTATCCTCAGTCTTCATAATTTCTTTGAACTACTATCCCTACTTTTTATTCATTCTCTTGAATTATCTGCAAATGTATACAAGCTAACCGACCCCTACCCCAGTGCTCTGTACACTGCAGGTACTTAAAACGTGTTTGTTAAATAAATTATTTATCTATTTATGAAGACTACTGGCTTTTGGAATGGATAGGTGATCTTCACATGCTAAAATATCTACCACCTTATTAACATCTAATTTGAATTTTCTTAGGATAGTGATGTCCTTTGCTCTCCAAACTAAAATTTCATGGTAACTCTTATTGATCACTCTCTTTCCTGAAACACATTTTCCAAAGCTATCTACTCTTTCCCAACAGTCCTCAGATTCTGCCACTGTTACTGATTCATTTATCTAGTTGTCCTTTCCCATCTTCCAAACCATCTATAACCTAGTTAAGTCCTTCTGCTATGTTTCTACACAAGGATGGGCCTTATCTAAGGAACATGTTTGGAAAGTTCTCTTTGTTTTGCTTCCTATTTCTGAAGCAATGGTTCTTCTGTTCCCAAATAATAATAACTACCTTTCTTCATGGATGCCAGAAGTTTTGGGATTGAACTAGCAAGTTCGATTGGTTTTGAAAACCAACAGGCTGACTGAGACTGTCCCTTGACCAATAGAATTCTGATTCCAGAGGATGGAGACATATCGCACATTATTCAGCTTAGACCCTATACATACAAACACAAATATATAACCAGCTCTGCAAATATAGCTTATTCTCTGAGACATAACACCCAACCAATAAATCCCTTTATATCTAAACAGCTGTGCAGCAAGAATTCCCAGCCTTTTCACTGCTGCCCCTCTTTGGTCCACTCTTACAGAGGAGGAAGGGCAAACAGAAGATTCACGGGGGTGGGGAAAAGTGGAAGGAATTTATTACCAGGAAGGAAAAAAGTAGTAAGAATGTGCAAACTGGAAGATGAAAGGAAGGTGTCTTATTTATCAATGGAAAAAGTTTTATAGCATCTTACGAGAAAGAGCAATGTGACATGTTGTTTTGAAAGACAGCTCAGAGAAACTCTGGGAGCTGGCAGCTCTGACAGGTGAGTAATGGTGATAAGTGAAACCAGTCTTAGAGTCACGGCAAGCTGTTTCAGCAACTACTAGGTAAAACTGGTGTTCGAGTTACAACAGGCCGTTTTAAGCAGCTGGGCTTGTGGAAAATTTAATTCTTGGAGCAGTTGCTATGTACTCCAAGTATTTTCTCCCCTGGTCCCTCGATTCTGATTTAGTTGGGTATGATAAGAATGACCCAATTTGTATAATTAACTTTCACAGAGGGAACATTTTATATGTGGGTATAGGAGGCAGAGACCTATTTTCTTTTATGTGGTACTATTTGTTATTCAAATGATGTGTTACACCTCTTCCCTCTATTGGTCATAGGACCAGGGACACTATAACTTCTTAGTGTTCCTTAGAACACCTCCTCTGAAATGTCATATATTACCCTAACTATAGACAGTAATTTCGGGGGGAAGAAAAGATATGTCTGTTCCACCCACTGCCCAGCTTAATGTTTCAGATGTTCAATAACATTTGTTTGAGAATGTATCATGAGGTCCCCCCAC